ATCTTCACACTTCATTAATGTTGGTTTGCATCAGGAATTGGCCCTTATCCCTTATTTGTTTGACCTGATAATGGACGTGTTGGTATGTGATGTGAAGTGTGAAGCTCTGTGGAGTATGCTATTTGCAGAATGCTGTGTGAACTTTCCCAAACCAAGGCTGAGAAGAAACTGGAAGATTGGAGGAAAGTTTTGGAAGAAAGGGGCATGAAGATTAGCAGAACTAAAACAGCTTATATGACTCTGAATGGTAGAGACAAGTGTAATATTAAAATCGAAAATGTGCCACTCCCTTTTGTTCCGAGTTTTAAATAGCTTGAGACATTTGTCAAGATGTGAGGAGGATTGAACTCGGAGGTGCAGCATAGAAATTAATGTGGATGGATGAACTGGAGAAAGCTGAGTGGTGTGTTATGCAACAAGAAAGTTAGCTGCAATCTGAAAGGAAAACTGTATAAATCAGTTGTTAGACCTGCAATGTTATATGGAGCTGAGCCATAGGCAATAACAAGAGCCCAAGAAAGAAAGATGGAGGTGGCAGATATGAGAATGTTGAGATGGATGTGTGTAGTGTCAAGGAAAGATACAATAAGAAACGAGTTTATTAGAGGTTCTGTTAAAGTGGGTCCCTTGAGCAGGAAGATGCAAGGATGCAGGTTGAGATGGTTTGGCCATGTAGAGTGAAGTAGTGAAAGAGGATCAGAAAACTGGTAGTGAAAGGAAGGAGGAAGAGAAGAAGACCATGGCTGCATTGGAAAGATAAGGTGGAGGAAGACTTGAATCAGAAGGGACTAATGGAGGAAACATTAGAAAAGGAAATGCCAACCCCATATAAACATGAGAAAAGACAAAGATAAAGAAGTGTTAAAAATTATAAGGACAAAACTAAATTTTGATATATTTCAAAAAATATATTATGAATTAATTTCCAATGAAGGCTAGTTATATGATACAGTAAAAAAATAAATAAAGGTTCTTTAATTCTTTCACATTTTATATAAATTGATACTCTACTTGTCTACTAATAGTGAAATTTCAATGAAAATATTAAAGACTATAGATGAAACAGCTCTTGCTTACTTGGAAGAATTATTCAGTCTCATGTATAATACAAGACAATGGCTAAGAAAACTAAATAATTCAATATTTTCTCCTCTCTTAAAATCAACAATAAAAGTTACAGCATATAAAATAATTAACTTTTATAAATCAAGATTAAATTTCTATTCAAGATTTATTCTAGGGAGATAAAGTACGAAATAAAGGGAGATATAGCACTCATTTAGAATAGATTTAAAAAAGTATAAAGAAAGTCCTTTTTAATCTCATCAGTGAAACATTGGAATTATAAGGATATTATAAGGATGATATATGGATGTAGACATAAATCTGTTTTCATAACAAAGCAAAGTTTTTGATATAATGAAATATGTGAAAGTAGTTAATAGTCTAAAAAATTTTGGACTCTATTCCAAAGATTTAAGACTTACTAAAAATTATGATAAAATCAATCTGTAAGAATACAAATAATGTTGACCTAAACTAATAATTTTTACCCAATAAAAATATGGCAGATGTGAGTCTTGCTGCAGTTCTCTTTAATTTATTAGGTTAATACAAAAGTTTCTGAAATTTTCTAGTTTTATAGTATAACATTTATTTAAAAAACAAAAAATAGTTTATTCAAGAAAATAATTGCCATTATATTCAAGCGCCTTTTTCCATTAATTGGGCAGTTCACGGATTTATGCTGAATAAAACTTAGTCATTTTGACTCAAATAACTCTGCAAGTACAATTTTCATATCATTAGTGAACTGCTTTCCATCCAATAAGTGTTGTGTGGAGTGAAAGAGATGGAAACTGGATGGTGCAATTTCTGGGCTATATGGAGGTGAGGGAGCCAAGCTAAGCTTGCCTCCCTCCGAGCTAAGATTCCTCCAAGCTAAGCTCATCCTTGCCAATCAATTTTGATGCATGTAGTCTTGGTGTTGTCATGAAGAAAGTATAAAATATTCATCTGTGGACAAACTGTGATAATCACAATCAAATGGCTTGTCATTTCTCATGTAGTCAGGCATGGGTTGGCTTCTGCCAGTTACCACAGCTTGTTGTCCAATAGGACAGAAAGACATCCCGAGTGCAGCTTTATCTTCAACTTCATATTGCCTAGATTTAAATTTACTGAACCAATCACAAATTGTAGACTTGGTGATTACTTTCTTGCCAACTGATTGCACCATACAGCAATAAGATTACAGTTACCTATTTTATATAAAATCAAGTGAATATGTGCAAATTTTGTCACAAGAAAGCATTGACAAACTTGACATATTTAAAAAGTTGGTAATGCCACACAGAATATATTTTCACTTAAGCCTGTGCACCTCAATACTCTTCATTTACTTACCCCACAAAAAATTCTAAATGTCATTTGTCAAAGCACAATTTTGAATAATCTAGAGAGGTCTAGGAAATTCCATAAATTTTTGCATCAACCTAATATACTGAATCCATCTTCGGGAAACAAAATATCAAGAATATTGCTATAGATACAAAATTTTATAACAGCTTCAAGTTTACTGACGACAGCAACACTAGTAATCAATACAGAGGGCTTGAAAAAAAGTTGATAAAAAAAATTAATTAAAATAATAGTGAAGATAAGCTTAAGCAACTTGTAAGCTTTGGAGAGAAAGTGGGAGGAAATACTAAAAATAAGTATTAAGATTAATCTCGGTGAACTTTATATGCTCAGAACAACTCATCATAGCAAATGAAGATGTAAAGATTAGATCAGAAGATTGAAATTGTCAAAAATCATTTTGTTAATTTAGAAAAATTCAGATGTAAAATTCTAAAGTACCATGTTTAATCACCTTTAAAATATGGACATTTGATTTAAAAATTATTAACCCTTTCCAGTCAGATGGGTCCATATAGACCTCTTACAATTACATTATATTTAAAGTCATCCACAAATGCCTATTGTGTCATAAAGCACCATTATATTTCAGCATATCTTCTCGCTAATAGAGTGCAGCACAGATTCAATTGCATTAATGAGTAGAGTTTTATTCTTTGTTTACAGGTGAATGTCTGATGTAGTTGAAAGTGCCATTATGTACTTGTATTTAACATTAATTTTGAAATAAGCTAATTGAGCTTTTGTTTTATTAAAATTATATATTGTTTATATGGATGAGAGCAATCAAGAACATCATGTTAGCATGTATACAGTGTATTAGTTTCTGTTTTATGAGGTTAGAAATACCTAGGTCCATTTGGACCCAGTGGGATAATATGATACAGAGCATTATTGAATTATGTAAAATTACATGAATAAATATTCTATGCATATTTATTAATAATTTCATTTCAGATGTCTATATTATTAGAAAAAGATATTGTTGATGTATTGCTGCATGGAAATTCTCAGAAGACGAGGAATTACAGGAGTTTTCAGATCTGGAAGAATATGAAAACAATGTTTTGACAAGTGCACAAAACATAATTAAAAACCTGGCTGCAGTGAATGAAGAACCTGATAAGGCATTAGATGCAGCTAAATTTGTTAATTTAATTGCAAACACTGAAACTGATACAAATGAAAACTTTGTCAATTTAAATGACATTCCATTAGCTCAAAGATTACGTACGTTACAAAATAGAAAAACAAAGAAGTCTATAAAGTGGAAAGCTAAAGATATTGAGTATTTTCAACTTGATGAATGTAACATCATTTTCCCAAATCCTCGATGTTATATGACACCTCTGTAATATTTCAAATTATTTTTCACTGATCAAATGTTTGAAACTATTGCAGAACAGACAAATTTGTATGCCACTCAAAAGACAGTGAGCAGCATAAATACAAATGCCTCTGAAATGAAACAATTTTTCAATATACACATTATGAGTGGAGTAATACAAGTACCTTCTTATCGATTCTATTGGAGTCAACACAGCAAAATTGAAAAAATTGCAAAGATTATGTCAAGATGCAGGTTTGATAAACTGAGAACATACATTCACATAATTGCATTTGCTGACTTGACTATTCCTACTGGGTCCATATAGACCCACTAAAAAATCTGAATCAATAATAAAAAAATAATTACAAAACTTATATTCTAGTGTTAATAAAGATATATAAACTTCAAAATTAATGATGGTAATTTTTTAACTTAAACACTTTTAATTCAGGCTGGAAAGGGTTAAAAACTGAAAGAATTTGAAATATAATTATGTAGTAAAGTATTGTAGACTTCATTAAAATTTTTGTCATTATGATATTCAATCATTAAAGTTAGAAGAACCATAACAGCTAACAATAAAAAAGATAAAATTATATAACTTGACCATATACAGAGATATGACACTTACAAAAACATCTTTTGGAGAGCCTGATGGAAAAAAATATATATGTGGAAGAAGAAGAAGATGACAAGCCACTTGTTGGGATAATATTAAGGATTAAATTAGACTCAGTTATCAGCAATGCCTAATAGATCCTTGGAAGGATTTGTACATCAATTTCCTGGAAGATATCTGAGAGAGAGAGAAATTTTGGAAATCACACTTTTAAATTTATCAACTAAATATGAATTTTAATTATTAATTAAAAATTTATAACGAAACAGGTAAATTAATCTGAAATCTCATATTTGGTACAAGTTTTCTCCAAAACCTTCAATTTCTAAAGATTGATACATCAAAAAATAAGTGATCAGTTTAATAAAATTATGTGATATGGGATGTCATTAATTTTTTTCATGATAAACATTTGGAAACATTTAAAATCTATTCAAGTTTTCATTTAGATCAAAAAATTAATTTGTCTTGATAGATTTGAAGAGATATACATATAGGAATAGTATGCTTAAATGTATGTAATTTTAAACATTTAATGATGAAAATGTTAAAAATGTTTAAGATGACCATTTTTATAAAAATTAAATATATGAATATATATTTGTATTTAATAATCTTTATATAACATACCTTTCCTCTATCATATTCTTCATTATAGTCATCATAATGGTCCCTCTTCTGCAAGCTATCCTCCATCACTTCTCTTTCTAAATGACTCCTGTTGCCATCCCAAGAATTCACTGCAAGTTAGACATACACACTTGTCGGATTCAACTCCTTCTTCAGAGTTACTTGTTCCAAAGTTTCTTGGCAGACCCAACTTAAGGGTGCACATAGATTTGCATTGCCTCTGCTCATAATCTTCACTGCTGCTGATTGCATTATATATCATACAGAGGTCAGATTCGGAGCAAGAGTTCCTAACTTGCACCCCATTTCTTTCTTAATGGGTCTCACTTTAGTGACTGCCAAGTTTCAATAAAAACTACTGTATATTTAAAACTATATATAATTTAAGAAATAAATATTGCACAACCTTATCATTTAATTGACTTTAAAAATTCCAAATATATCTCATTATATGATTTTCTTGTCTTTTTTTCAATAATTGAGATGTGACAAATTACTATTACAGTAATTTTAACAAATTTCACGATTATAAATATGCTATAGTAATTATTTTCAGATATATCCAAATATATAAAACAGAATAAATTTTTGTATATCTTAAAACTAATACTGTTGGTAATGAATTTTCATGTCAAATTACCCAATCAAAAACTATGAATTTTCATGAAGTAATATTACTACTTAAATACTTATTTGTATAAATTTCTTTTATATTTATCAGAACTGTTACTAGGATAATTAATATTGTATGAAAACCATATAAAGAAATTATATCATAATAGCCTACTTAAAGAATAAGTTTCCTTACATTAAAGTAGAGAATCTATAGGAATTGCATTTGTATTTTTATTAACTTTTAGAATAATTTAAGCATTAGTCAAAAGAAAAATAACTTCCAAGATTTGTAGCTTTTTGAATCATATGTATACTGTGCATGTCTGAAAAATAAATATTACAGTATTTTGAGTAATGATTCTGTGCAAAACAATGGTTCTGCAGGTTATTCAATCAATCTTAACATAGTATAGTCATATACTGTATCATTTTCAGTCTGTTTAGCTCTGAAAACTTCTCTGTGTATCCAGATACAAAATTGTTTTTACTCCTCAGGCTACAAAGGAAATTTGTGTAGCAAAACCAATCAAACAGCTTTCTCTTCAGCCAATTTTGTCTTGAACTAATTAAGGTAGTTTAGGCCAATCTCATGTTTAAAGAATTAGAGCATGTATGAACAAATTAAAAGCATATAGCAACATACACCAGTAAAAAATACTAGCAATGTCTGCAATGTTCAGATTACTTATAAAATTTTGCAAAAAACAAAAAAATTTTGGTAATCTTCCATTCTGATACTCTGTCACTACTCAGATTTTGTGCGCGCCAGATTAATAAATATAATAATAAATGTTAAAACATTGATAAAAATCTGAGATTTTCTTTTTGATAGATAAATGAATGAAGCAAGCACAAACAACAATTTATTTACTGTTGTCTGTATGATCACTCATTTTACTATTCTCATTTTGCAAAATTGCAATGAGAATCAAGTTTATGTGAAAATAAATCATATTATATATTCTGCTTTCACTTTTGCTACTATCTATCTATAGGAACCAAGCATAGAGTTCTCTGCAACAAATAGCAGCAAAGTAACAGATTCTTCAAATAAAATGCATGTAATTGATATTACGGATATTATTTATTAATTAAGTTTTTTTAACTTTACTTTAACATTTATTATTACACTATTATTATTAGTAATTGATAAAATTTTTGTACTTTTATAGGCATTTGCATATTCCTCATATAAAGTTTATGAGATTTACTCTCAATATTCTATTTTTCATTTCACTTATTTTATAAGTATAGTACATCTATAATGAATTATAACAGAAAAGCAATGTTTTAACGTTTAATATGGTATTTTCTAAACTGCATATTAGTCATGCTTTCAACAGCTGTTGCAGAGGTTCAAGATATATGGCATGGTGGATTATGCAAAGGTTTTATTTCTATTCTAGAAATTTTTTGCTTGATATAATTCCACTGTACGTTGTCTCATTAAATTATGGTAATTAATAAAAGAAAATAAATGATAATCTCTGCTTAAAACTTCTGATCAAAAATAATTTCATATTTAAATTTGTTTAAACTTAAATACAGTGCTCCACAAAAGTATAGAACCGCTCAAAAAATTGGTCTTTTAAGGTCAGAACATGCACTAATAGATAGAAACAGATTTTTTTACATGTAATTCAGCACCTAACTTATAATAACATAATTTTAGAAAACTAATTTGTGGCTGACTGCAAAATAGCAAGGAAGTCAATTTACATACTGTATAGAACTGCCATTTTTCTCACAAGTTTAAAGTGTGAAAGTATTTTTTTTTCATCATTCCTCATGGTACCTATTTAACAGACTTTAAAAAGAGACAAATTATAGCTTTGAGAAGCACTGAATTAAGTCAACAGCATCAAATGTTCAAAAAAGGTCATTCAGCATTATTTGTGAAATCCTGCATATTATGGACCAAAGTGTAAAAGTGGATGTCTTTTACAAGCTTATCCTGCAAGACTGCAGATGAATTATTAATGCAGCTTCTAATTCCACAGTGTCCACGCATAAAATTTGGGACGATTTGGGTATTTAAGTACATCACAAAACTGTTCAAAGACATGGCAACAACGACATTGTTTGGTCTTGAATGAGAAGCACCCTGCTTCTTAAGCTGAGCACAAAGCTGCCCAACTCAATTTTGCTAGGAAAAATATGGCCATTCAATGGAATAAGGTAAGTTTTTTTTGTTTTGTTTAGACCTATCATATTAGACTTATAGTTTTGTTTAAACCTATAGACTTTTTATCATATATTTATAGATGATCTTTTTGGATGAGAAAAAGTTTAATTTGAATGGGTCAGATGGTATAGCGTTCTACTGGTGTGATTTACAAAAAAAATCTCAAGTACTTTTTGCAAAGGAACTTCGGTGGTGGGAGTGTTATGGTTTGGAGTGCTTTATCTGCACTGAGAAAATTGGATTTGGCATTCATTACCTGTCACATGAACAGTGCCGACTATCAACAAGCTCTGGAGAACAAATTGCTGCCATACAAACATAGATTCAGAAGAATTCCTCTTATTTTTCAACAGGGCAATGCATCTATCCATGTATCACAAGATACAAATCAGTGGTTTAAAAATAAATGAATTGGCCAGTTCGTTCTCCTAATTGCAACACTATAGAAAATGTTTGGGGGATCTTGGTTGACCAAATTTATGACCAGTATGCCAACATTGATCACTTAAAACAAGCAATTGCCACTGCTTGGAACTCTCTTGAGGCATCGATCATAAAAAACCTTGTTGATAGCATGCCAAATCGCATTTTCAATGTTATCAGTAAAGATGTGCAAATAAATTACTAAATTAAACTATTTTGTAGTATATAATTCTTTTTACTTTCATTTATTAGTCGATTCTATACTTTTGTGGTGTTTAAAATCAGTTTTTTTACAATTTCTGCTGTTTGCTGCAATATAGGAAACTATGAGTTTCAACAAATTATGTTTTCATAAATCCTGAACAATATCAGAAAGGTAGCTACATATGTGTAATTCCTAACCTTCGTATAGTAAATTTGCAGCAGTTCTATACTTTTGTGGTGCACTGTATAAACTGATTTTTGTTCAATCCTTAATATTCTAAGTTTTTCTGTTAAAAATATTTTATATTCAATTTAATTATGTAATAAGCCTATAATTACAACAGAAATCAAAATGAGCAAAAATTATTGTGACATCTTCACAATGCTGTGTTACAATTTTTAATCATATTTTTAATTTATTTTAAAATATCAATATATCCTCTTGATCTCAAATTAGTAGTGTCATCATACTTTTTCTGTTATCAACAGAGTCATGTCGGTCATCTACATAACTCCATTCTGGGGAAAATTTTTGAATTAAAATCATATGACTTCCGGTATAGATCAGAAGTTTGTATCTAGTTAATTGGGGCCTCCTGCCCCTAAGCTTTCCATATCTGGTCTCGACGTTCATCTGTTACCATTCTCAAGATTAAGGAAGAACAGTCAAACAAAGACTGATGACAGTGGGAATTTATAGGTTTACTATTTTTTCAAACTGTAGCCCAACAATGATTAAACATACATGTCATTGACTGTTTTTTTTCACATTCTTTTCAAGAGAGATTAAAAAAGTAAAACAAATAACATTCTAAGTCTTAAATTCAAGACAAAATATAGGGAAATGACTGAGAAAGTTTTTTGTATTTTCTAAACTATTAAGTCTATTAAAAAGAATAAATTTGCCTTAGTTACATTGAACATAACAATAATTTTTTAAATTTTACATTTGAAATAATTTTTTAGTTAATTTTTGTAAGACCACTAACGAATTTTATATTTTTGAAACTTAAAATTTTTATTTATCACTTAATTATTAAATTCAAAATATTAAAAAGTTCTTGGTTGCAATGTCTTAAATCTTCAAACAGAGAATTGAAATAAAATATAAAAGAAATGCTTTCGCGTTTTGGTTTTCAACTTAATTATACCGAAATAAACAAGTTTTTTAGATTAATAGTCTTATTATTTACAAATTTGAACATAATTTTTACAAATGCAATTACCATCTTAAATACTATTAAATTTTAAATATATTGAAGAGCTCAGAGCAAAAACTGCTAAAACAAAATTTAAAACTTATTAAAGAAAATGTTAAAAACATTTATATGAATTTTACCTTTTGTATATTTCAATTTAAATTGTAATCTTTGTAGCTCTTTTCACTAAAACTGTTTTCTTATTCTTTTGCAATATTCACTAAATTATACAATTTTTTAAATTTATTTTTATTACAGTATTACTCCAAGCTGTTCAAATAACTATAAATAATAAAATAACATTATGTATTATAAATTAGGCTAGAATTCATTCATCTCTGCAAATGTGTACAAAGTTGTTAAAGAAATTTGGTTCTGTTTTTTGTTAGTGCCTAATAATTTATAAATAAATTTAAATTATAATTCATATATTTATTAAAGCTATGTTTTTTTATTGTAATATCAAATTTTATTGTAGTAAATA